GGGCTTCACACATTGTACCCATGTCAGGAATCGAACCCGGGTCTTCGGCGTGACGAGCGATCGCTTTTACCACTAGGCTACCCAACCGCCCCTCATGGTACATGAACCTGAATGGTTGCAGTTGAGACAAATATCCCAAGACACAACAGAATGTAACATGTTATTGGGCATACCACATACTTACTGCACATCAGTGTCATTCAACATTCATAGAAGAAAGTATTAGACAAAAACAAAGTTCAAAATGGCTGCCAATGTCATGGTAGCTAAGTTTAAATTAGATGAGAATTCAGAGATATCATTGATCATGTTGATGGTGGCAACCGAATCTGTGATTTCAGCAAATTTATTTTTGGGTACTTTTGTGCCTTGGTTGCAACTTTAGTAGAAAAGTGTTAAAACTTTATAGATGAAAGCTGGTCAAAAAGTTCTAAGCCTAACAAACAAAACCCACAATTGTGAAAGTGTTTTTAATTTTAGTTTTCAACACAATCTCCCTGCTTTTTGATACACTTCTCATAGTGAAGCTTTTCAGTTCCAGTCAGGAAGAAGTTTTCTGAAGCCACCCTGAAAAACCCATTCATGACAGCTTTGAGGTAATCGTTGTCGTCATAGCGCTTTCCACGTAGGTGTTCTTTCAGTTTAAGAAACATGTGAAAATCACTTGGTGCCAGGTCTGGCGAGTATGGAGAGTGAGGAAGCTCTTCGAACCCACATTGTTGTGCAGCAGCCTTTGCAAGTCAAGAGGTATGAGATGAGACATTGTCATGAAGGAGTGGATCTCCAGCAGTCAGCATTCCTCGCCGCTTTTCTTTGATAGAATGAATAAAATCAGCACAGTAGGCACCGGTAATCGTCTTTTGACTTTTTAAGTGATCAACAAGGATCACACTCTTTGCATCCCAGAATACAGTGGCCATAACTTTGATCTTTTGATACACTGATCTGATCTTGTAGACTTGAATTTATGGATTGACGTTTTGACTTGGGATCATAGTGGTAGACCAATGTTTCATCACCTGTTGCTAATCTCTTTTAGAATTTGGGGAAATTGTCCTCAATTAGCTCTAAATTTTCTCTGGGAATGTCAGTCCTTTTTTCTTTAAGATCAGAAACTTTGGCACCCAACAAGTAGATATCAAATTCATCTGTAAATGTTCATGAATAATAGTTTCAATGGATCTATGGCTTAGACCTGTGTCTTCCTCAAGGTTAGCAATGGTAATACATCTATCTGACAGTATAAGTTCTTCCATCTCCTCGATTGAATCTTCATTGATGGAAGTTGAGGACGTCCAGACGTAGGGTCATCATCAAGGCTTGTTCTACCAGCCTTAAACATAGCTGCCAAACGTTAAACATCGGAATAGCTAGGGTACTTATACCCATACATTTATGACATGCGGTCATGAATTTCTGGGGGAGTACTTTTCTCTAAAGTAAAAAACTTGATGACTACTTGGTACTCATTCTTTTTCATTTCTGTATCCATTTGGACCCCTATCACGACCAACTGGCTGTCACTAATATACAAACGGCCTCACCAGACCAAATACACTTGCAATGAACTCAAACAATGTACTACATTGACTAGTTCACTTTGTTGTTGCCCATAGTTGAAAGTTGAAAGTCAGACTTGGAACTTGTTGAACAGCCCTCGTAAGTTACAACAAGGGTAGATTGACATTGGGTTCTAAGCCTGACACGGAAGGAATTGCGTAATAGTGAAATGTTTTGTTGTGGACAATACATGCTGTGACAAGTCAGTAAACATGCAGTGATCAAGTACTGGCAGGTTGTTGCTTGGACTCATGAACCAAGGTATCATACATAGTCACAAATCGTTGAATGAACCTTGCTGGATCTGTGCCTGGTGATCATGTGTCGGAAACTTTGGAACCCAATGAGCTGATACTTTCTTACTGCAAACGTTTCTGTGATAATGGATTGCACCAGGGTAAGAAACTAACAGTTTTTGTCCACTAGTCCTTATAATGATAACATATAGCAAAACCCTTAAAATGGGCCAATTTCTACTAGTCCTTAGGATACCTTTACCATTGGGCAGTTTGGTAAGGACTACAGGACTAGTGCCAATTTGTTGTACTACACACCCTGGCTTTCCTGTAAATACGAGGGGCATTGGGTAGCCTAGTGGTTAAAGCGTTCGCTCGTCACGTCAAGGACCCGGGTTCGATTCCCGACATGGGTACAATGTGTGAAGCCCATTTCTGGTGTCCCCCGCCGTGATATTGCTGGAATATTGCCAAAAGCGGCGTAAAACCATACTAACTCACTCCTGTAAATACATGATCACTCGCATTCCTCATGTTTATGCATTTTCCAAAGAGACCCCTGCTTATTTGAGTGACTCGACTCAGCAAAACAATTTGCTCAATTGACTCAAATGGTTGTGGGTATACCTCTATGACATCATGTAAAGTCCACAACATAAGATTTCACTATTATCCAGGTCCTTCTATGTGAGGCTCAGAGTTTCATAAAACCAAACAAACCATACAAACATATACACTCACAAGAAAGAGACTGAAATGAAATATTGTACATTCATTGTTTGATTCATTGACATCTGCTCACTTGCTCCAACTATATGACATAAGTGTTAGGATGAAGGATAATGGCTTAAGATAAAATACTTTTTATCCTTCTCTGGAATTTGGTCTACATCACCATCGGTTAGAGCATACACACTGGGAGAAGTATCTAGCTGCTTCTTCCTCGGGATGGTTAAATGATGGTGCTAGCATGTATGAAGATGGCAATTTATTCACATGTTTTAGCAATAGTCCATAATGTTCAAATTTATACTTCATGTCAATCTCTTTTTCATTTACTTTTATCTTCTACATTCCTGTGTATATAGTTTATGTATCTGACATATTTGTTATATCTACCTGAACAAAACAAACTACTATATGTCCTCTAAAAGCTGCTTTAAAGTTGTAATGTGTGTCTCAGGTCCCCAGTAACCTCATAGATTGTGTCGCAACTGCAAGGTCTCACATGGTGAAAATCATAATGGCACAGTTCAAGTTAGTTCCCAGTGCACATTTACAAACATATTTACTGGTATCTAATTCTTTGTTTATCAGATTTAAGATGGACCCCAGTTTATAGGCTGGGTCACAACCTGACATTTCACAAGAGCTATGAGTGAAGACTGTTTGTGTTGAATGACATGTGAAAGTGACCTGTGACATTGAACATGACACACAACTTATTGCAACATAGAAGACATACATTTCACGTAATCTTTGTTTTTATGTATCAAATTACTATTCTTGTTACCACACTTTAACACACTAAAACACCAAATAAAATCCCAGTGTAAAGTACACTTGAAAAGAATACATTTTGATCTCAAGAGGGTTAGAGCTGAAATGATGCTGTTGCCAGGAAACATCCATCCTTATCAATGATAGCAGAGCTACAATGTAACCCATACCTTACACAATGGGGACGCTGATAAGCCTGTGATTAATCTTATAATGTTACTTCAGGGCTCGACTTAAGGAACTTGATGTAACTTGCATCAGGTGCATGTTGACATGAACACCAAGTTGCACCAAACAAAACCAAGTTGCACTCTGGTTCCATAGCCTGGTTCAAAGTTGAAACATTGGCCAGTCTGCTGCCAGTGTCACATAAATTAATGGCACAATGCCGTAAAATGTAATAGGAACATGTGCACATAACCTTGAAGTACCCACAGTTTGATGATGTCAAGCCCAAAAGTATGACAAATTACATGTGACACAGAGGTTAGTGATGTAGTATGGTAAATAAACTTTAGAGGTATTGAGTGTATTAACAGATCAATCTTGTGTGGACAGGTAAAGGTCAGTCAGACTCAAATTCGAGACCTTTTGACATGCACTTGATGCATGTAGACATAAATATTAGGTTGCATTTTTCAATAATAGATGGCACTTCTGCATGTTTAACATAGCTAAATCCAGCCCTGTTCTTATAGGGCCAAAAAGGGCCATTGGTGCATTTATTTTAAGAAATTCTCACTGAGCATTAATCATGAGGGACTTCGAAGTCAGACCAGATCCCCAGCAACTTCCACTTGCTTTACAGGGATGGGGTGTTCAGACTAAGTGACTTGATGGACTGAGTGTCAACACACCAAAATGGGATGTTGTTCATGAAGTCCATCATTGGATTGTTTGGTTCAGTATATATACGGGCCGCCGCTATGTAGCTGGTACATTGCTGAGTGTTACACAACACACAGAAGGAGATGACACAGAGCATTATTATTTCTACTTTGTTCTGATTGGCTGCTCCCTGCTATTTATTCCATTGTCTCATTGTTAGCAAAGTGGTCCACAGCAGGTATTTAAAGCTTTTAACAGAAGTCAGTCTGACACTGTCAACTGTCTGTAACAGCTGTAACCAGTCGGGGGGGCACAATCACACGGAGATTTTACTGGCACTTCTCTCAATCATACACCAGGCTGACATGCTGGTCATGGATAGGTTACAGAAGTTAAGGTGTACTGTAAATCTGGAAGGTCTTGCAAACAGTACTGAGAAATCTGAGTGACATACACTAAAAATACTTTCAGGACCATAGGTTATTTTTGTAGGCAAACAACAAACAAACGTAAGGAGGCATATATTTCTTTCATTCACTTCCACACATTGTGAAGCCAGCCAGTGCATGAATAAGTAACACATCCCACATGTCCTGTGTTTCCTTCACTAGACATTGTTACTCGGTGTCAATAGTCTAATCAGGAAATTCACTCACCTGCCTCATCTTGTCAGGTTGGTTACTTAACACATACCTGGGCTACGAACTACTAACTTTGTGACTGTCAAGCTTCTAACATTACCATTCTGCCACCAGGGCTGAGTGCAGGGTGGAGAATTTGGAAAACTACTAAATTTTAAGTAATGTTAGTGCAAATATTTTCAGATACTTTTGTCAGTTATGATATGTCAACATTATATTAACTTCTATCACTCACCATATGAAGATCAATATTGAGTAAGATGGCTGCATTATTCTGTGCGGGCCCGTAGTCCGTTGAAGCCTCTGTTCTACGCCCCCAGCCGGAGCGGAACTGAAGGTTAGCATCGCCGGCATCCTTCACATGTACTGGCATAGCTTTCTGTTGCAGCAGACAACCACATAGTATCAGACAAGTAGTGCCAAAAGGAGAGTAGTACAACATTATGGCTATGTGCTACAATATGTGAAGCACCATGTTTAAAGTCAGATTGGAACTCTGTGAGCACTTTTTACAGACGTCAAAGCTGGGGTAATTCCATAGTTTCAGCTCCGTAGGCCTTGTAGTTTTAGAGGAGATGTTGAAAATGTAAATATGGACATATGGATGACCGGACAACACGCCATCCTCCACTCTACACTGCAGTGCAATAGCAGAAGAGTGAGTGAGTGAGTATTGTTATACGCCACTTTTAGCAATATTCCAGCAATATGAAGGTGGGGGATACCAGAAATAGGCTTCACACATTATACCCAGGCGGGGAATCGAACCCGGGTCTTCTGCGTGACGAGCAAACGCTTTAACCACTAGGCTACCCGACCGCCCCCAATAGCGAGGATGTGTTCAGTGTATATCTGTACCTTGTCTCCTTCAACCTTAGATGCTAATGTTTGCTGCACTTTGCTCTTCACATAATGTTGTATCAAGAACATCACACTGTAGCCTATAATCCACTTTCTCTAAGGAGCACACAAACATCATCATAGTATTATAGTATTTCCTATGCCACAAACATATCAATATGTGAAGCACCATGTTTAAAGTCAGATTGGAACTCTGTGAGCACTTTTTACAGACGTCAAAGCTGGGGTAATTCCATAGTTTCAGCTCCGTAGGCCTTGTAGTTTTAGAAGAGATGTTGAAAATGTAAATGTTAATGACATAAGGACAGACATATGGATGACCACAAACATATCTTTAAAAGTTAAATATGATTGTTGATACCTTCTGCAAGACCAGTGTATTGTGAATGGTGCTCATGACACTAAACATTAATATTACCCTTGATATAGTGCATGAAGTATAATACTATGCTGAAGTATATGCCAGTCACACATGAACAGCTAGCTATCACTTACCCTGACATGTATGCCCTTATCTGCGGACTCTGTGATGTTTGAGAACACAGACTGGCCCTGGGGAACCTCCAAGAGCTTCTTGACCATCTCATTATAGATCTCATACATCTGGATGTACACTTTGGGGTTTTTACGTTTTGTCTTTGTATCTGACTTGAATGTGTCTGAAACAAGGGGGAAATATGTCATGTGATTCTGTGTGTTGTCATCAACATCAGCTGACTCAGGGATCATTGGGTACACCTTCCTCAGACTATGTGTTCATGTGTCAGTGATGTCATCATGACAGTGTAGCATCAGAGAACTTGTGTCAGGGACAGGATATGTAATACTTGCTTCCTTGTCATGAATAGTACAGGCTGAATATGTAACCCACAAACTCAGAACTACATCTAACCAATACACAAAGCTTCTTCTCCACACAGCGTCCAGGGCTGCATTGGTCCTTAGTGACTCTTATGAGTGGTTTCTTATATATAGGTCCCCGTTTCTTCTATGAATTTGTCCTTAGTAACCCCTTTTCTAATATGAATTTGTTCTTAGTAACCTGTATTGTATATGAATTGGTCCTTAGAAACCAGTCCCTTACATGAATTAGTCCATAGTAGCATGTCTCTTATATGAATTGGTCCTCAGTAACCATTGTCTCTTATATGAATTGGTCCCTAATAATCCACTATTTATATGAATTTGTCCCTAGTAAACCGCTTCTTATATGAATTGGTCCCCATTAGCCCATGTTTCTCATATGAATTGATCCCTAGTAACCATTTTTAAATATGAATTGGTCCCCAGTAACCAGTTTTATATTTGAATTGGTCCCAAGAAACATGTTTCTTATTTGAATTGGTCCTTAGTAACCTCTGCCTCTTATATGAATTAGTCCCTAGAAACCTGTCTCATATAAGAAATGGTCCCTAGTAACCTCTGTCTTTTATATGAATTGGTCCTTAGTAAGCCACGTCTCTTACATGAATTGGTCCTTAGTAACCCCTGTAATTTATATGAATTGGTCCCTAGTAACCTGTCTCTAATATAATTGGTCCTTAATAACCCCTGTCTTTTACATGAACTGGTCCATAGTAACCCCTGTCTTTTATATGAATTGGTCCTTAGTATACACATCTCTTACATGAATTGGTCCCTAGTAACCTGTTTCTTATATGAATTGGTCCTTAGATACCAGTTTTTTATATGAATTGGTCCTTAGTAACCCCTGTTTCTTATATAAATTACATGAATTGCTCCCTGTCTCTTATAAGAATTGGTCCCTTGTAACACATTTCCTATAAGAATTGGTTCTTTGTAACCTCCGTCTCTTATAAGAATTGGTCCCTTGTAACACGATTCTTATATGAATTGGTCCTTTGTAACCTCCGTCTCTTATGAGAATTGGTCCTTTGTAACCTCCGTCTCTGATAAGAATTGGTCCCTTGTAACACGATTCTTATATGAATTGGTCCTTTGTAACCTCCGTCTCATATGAAAATTGGTCCTTTGTAACACGATTCTTATATGAATTGGTCCTTTGTAACCTCCGTCTCTTATAAGAATCGGTCCCTTGTAACACAATTCTTATATGAATTGGTCCTTTGTAACCTCCGTCTCTTATAAGAATTGGTCCCTTGTAACACGATTCTTATATGAATTGGTCCTTTGTAGCCTCCGTCTCTTATAAGAATTGGTCCCTTGTAACACGATTCTTATATGAATTGGTCCTTTGTGACCTACGTCTCTTATGAGAATTGGTCCCTTGTAACACGATTCTTATATGAATTGGTCCTTTGTAACCTCAGTCTCTTATAAGAATTGGTCCCTTGTAACACGATTCTTATATGAATTGGTCCTTTGTAACCTCCGTCTCTTATAAGAATTGGTCCCTTGTAACATGATTCTTATATGAATTGGTCCTTTGTAACCTCCGTCTCTTATAAGAATTGGTCCCTTGTAACACGATTCTTATATGAATTGGTCCTTTGTAACCTCCGTCTCTTATGAGAATTGGTCCTTTGTAACCTCCATCTCTTATAAGAATTGGTCCCTTGTAACACGATTCTTATATGAATTGGTCCTTTGTAACCTCCGTCTCTTATAAGAATTGGTCCCTTGTAACATGATTCTTATAAGAATTGGTCCTTTGTAGCCTCCGTCTCTTATAAGAATTGGTCCCTTACACACGATTCTTATATGAATTGGTCCTTTGTAACCTCCGTCTCTTATAAGAATTGGTCCCTTGTAACACGATTCTTATATGAATTGGTCCTTTGTAACCTCCGTCTCTTATGAGAATTGGTCCTTTGTAACCTCTGTCTCTTATAAGAATTGGTCCCTTGTAACACGATTCTTATATGAATTGGTCCTTTGTAACCTCCGTCTCTTATAAGAATCGGTCCCTTGTAACACGATTCTTATATGAATTGGTCCTTTGTAACCTCCGTCTCTTATAAGAATTGGTCCCTTGTAACATGATTCTTATATGAATTGGTCCTTTGTAACCTCCGTCTCTTATAAGAATTGGTCCCTTGTAACACGATTCTTATATGAATTGGTCCTTTGTAACCTCCGTCTCTTATGAGAATTGGTCCTTTGTAACCTCCGTCTCTTATAAGAATTGGTCCCTTGTAACACGATTCTTATATGAATTGGTCCTTTGTAACCTCCGTCTCTTATAAGAATTGGTCCCTTGTAACACGATTCTTATAAGAATTGGTCCTTTGTAGCCTCCGTCTCTTATAAGAATTGGTCCCTTACACACGATTCTTATATGAATTGGTCCTTTGTAACCTCCGTCTCTTATAAGAATTGGTCCCTTGTAACATGATTCTTATATGAATTGGTCCTTTGTAACCTCCGTCTCTTATAAGAATTGGTCCCTTGTAACACGATTCTTATATGAATTGGTCCTTTGTAACCTCCGTCTCTTATGAGAATTGGTCCTTTGTAACCTCTGTCTCTTATAAGAATTGGTCCCTTGTAACATGATTCTTATATGAATTGGTCCTTTGTAACCTCCGTCTCTTATAAGAATCGGTCCCTTGTAACACGATTCTTATATGAATTGGTCCTTTGTAGCCTCCGTCTCTTATAAGAATTGGTCCCTTGTAACACGATTCTTATATGAATTGGTCCTTTGTAACCTCCATCTCTTATATGAATTGGTCCCTTGTAACACGATTCTTATATGAATTGGTCCTTTGTAACCTCCGTCTCTTATAAGAATCGGTCCCTTGTAACACGATTCTTATATGAATTGGTCCTTTGTAACACGATTCTTATAAGAATCGGTCCCTTGTAACACGATTCTTATATGAATTGGTCCTTTGTAACCTCCGTCTCTTATAAGAATTGGTCCCTTGTAACACGATTCTTATATGAATTGGTCCTTTGTAACCTCCGTCTCTTATGAGAATTGGTCCCTTGTAACATGATTCTTATATGAATTGGTCCTTTGTAACCTCCGTCTCTTATAAGAATTGGTCCCTTGTAACACGATTCTTATATGAATTGGTCCTTTGTAACCTCCGTCTCTTATGAGAATTGGTCCTTTGTAACCTCCGTCTCTTATAAGAATTGGTCCCTTGTAACACGATTCTTATATGAATTGGTCCTTTGTAACCTCGGTCTCTTATAAGAATTGGTCCCTTGTAACACGATTCTTATATGAATTGGTCCTTTGTAACCTCCGTCTCTTATTAGAATTGGTCCCTTGTAACACGATTCTTATATGAATTGGTCCTTTGTAACCTCCGTCTCTTATAAGAATTGGTCCCTAGTAACACAATTCTTATATGAATTGGTCCTTTTTAACCTCCTTCTCTTATAAGAATTGGTCCCTTGTAACATGATTCTTATATCAATTGGTCCTTTGTAACCTCCGTCTCTTAAAAGAATTGGTCCCTTGTAACACGATTCTTATATGAATTGGTCCTTTGTAGCCTCCGTCTCTTATAAGAATTGGTCCCTTGTAACACGATTCTTATATGAATTGGTCCTTTGTAACCTCCGTCTCTTATAAGAATCGGTCCCTTGTAACACGATTCTTATATGAATTGGTCCTTTGTAACCTCCGTCTCTTATAAGAATCGGTCCCTTGTAACACAATTCTTATATGAATTGGTCCTTTGTAACCTCCGTCTCTTATAAGAATTGGTCCCTTGTAACACGATTCTTATATGAATTGGTCCTTTGTAACCTCCGTCTCTTATAAGAATTGGTCCCTTGTAACACGATTCTTATATGAATTGGTCCTTTGTAACCTCCGTCTCTTATAAGAATTGGTCCCTTGTAACACGATTCTTATATGAATTGGTCCTTTGTAGCCTCCGTCTCTTATAAGAATTGGTCCCTTGTAACACGATTCTTATATGAATTGGTCCTTTGTAACCTCCGTCTCTTATGAGAATTGGTCCTTTGTAACTTCCGTCTCTTATAAGAATTGGTCCCTTGTAACACGATTCTTATATGAATTGGTCCTTTGTAACCTCCGTCTCTTATGAGAATTGGTTGCCAGTAACTACCTGAAAGACCCTATCCATTTGGTCGCCTCGTATGACAAGCATAGGTTGCTGGGGACCTACCAGTATATTCTATAGAGCAGGACTTAGTGGTTTGATGCATCATTTGAAAGATGAAAGTTTCTGCCAAGAGGGTATAAACATTGTGCCACAGCACTGTAGCTTACAATATCAATAAAGATAGCCACTTAACAAAAGTTGCCACCAGCATTGATATTCCAATGTTTTCTGCATAAATATTGAACTCCAATTATTTGAACAAAATATGATGTCATCATAAAGAGAAACATACCTGACAAAGTTCAACACTATGATCATAACCAATCTTTTACTCCGATACAATATCTCTTTGTGTTAAGATATGAGGACACCTCCATATAAGGTCGCATCAGGTGAACGCTGAGCTATCTTTGATTGCCCAATCTAAATGAGGGATGAGTGGGTTCCTGAGCCAGTGAAATGTCAGCTGATAATTTGGCTGTATTTCTTTATTACTTGATTTGGAAATATTGAGTTTAGCAAAATGAAACCCACACAGCACACAAAAATGACAGCCTTTGGGTTTAGATGCCACAAAGCTCAGGAATAATAGGGTGTATACAATATCAACAGTAATATAATGGCACAGTCTTCATTTATATGTACATTCAGGAAAAGTCGTTCAAGCGTGTTTTCAAGACGAAAAAAAAACATATGCTGTTTTGAATGCCTCGCTCACTCGTAACGAGAATTAAGAAGGCTTGACACGTGGCAGACTTTCATGCAGAGAGGCATAGTATTGGAGTAAAAGATCTTATTTTAATTTTTTGGGCTAAAATAGAACGGAACATGTTTGTTCATTCCCACAACATACTAAAGAAACACCAAATTTTGTTACATTCTATAAAAAACTGGTCAAGTAAATGGCTGATGTAGCAGCCATGTTGAAAATTGGATTCGAACCTCTTGAATAATTTTAGGTGTCCTCATTGGTGGGAACAAGTATGTGAAGTTTCAGCATCATTGGTCCAGTGGTTTCTGAGGAGATGATGTTTCCTTATACTAGTTATAGTGAAAGGAAATGCCAAAATATAAAATATCGGAACGTATGTTGTCACTACTAAGTCCACATATACCAAATTTCATGACATATTGAGCAAAAATGACTGAGTCAAATATGCAGGAAGACTATTATTTTTGTTTCAGTAGCTCACCTTCCATGAGTTTGGCAAAGAGGTAATCGAAGACCATCTGTACAAGTCCCGCCCTGGCGCTGCTCTCCCCTGCCATAGTGTAGGACTTGCCCGACCCACTCTCCCCCGTCACCAGCAGACACACATTGAAGCCTGACATCAGCATCTCCAGCAGCAGCTCGACCGAGTTCCGGAAGATGTCATATGTGGTCGATTCCCTCCTGAAAAGGTTCTGGAAGCTAGAAAATTGAGATTGTGTTTGTTAAATGATGTTTACCTAAATAAAGTTTTTTTAAATCCTTCCTTGCTAAAAATTTGTAAACATGTTCAAATTAATAATGATAATATATTAGATTTACAAAAGTGATGCTGGACTTATTTTTGATTTCAGTAAACTTATCATACATTAGCAGAAAACCTTCATTTTGAAGAAAACAAGAGTTAACATAGATAGATCCAAACTCTTAACCTCAATGTAGAGAAAAGATTTTAAACAAGACAGTAACATATGGATGACTCTGTCTGCATTTTCATAATTTTACTGTGATTTGGTTTCATAATGTGTGGATTTCAGGAGGGGGATTTTTGATGCCTGTGAATCCCCATTTCTAGCTCTGACATGTTTAACCATTATCATCATAATTATAGGATTATTGGATAACACTGAAAACAAACACATTAGTCTTTATACTGGACATTTTGAATTGACATTAAATTAAAAGAAATTAATATTACAAAATGTGTATTGTTGAAAGAAGGTAAGTATTTACTGGAAGAAGTGTCCTCCTGGAGCTGTCAGCCTTTGTGTTCCTTCAATTGATAAGTTTTCCTTCCCCTCACCTGGGACAAGGGGACGGATACGCCCACTGACTTCAATGTTCATGGCTCTCTGTGATGTGCAAACTTGGATGAGAAGAAAATTACAGTCACCATATAGCAAAATGTTGATGTCAAGATGTAGATCTAGATCTAGTACATTTCTTGATGAATTTATTATTTTTTAAGTATTCACGCTGGTGTCAATTAATTTCCCATTAAATTGCTTGTTGAAAAGATATTCGAAATTTAACAGATTGTAAAAGACAAGAAGATGTAAACTCATAGGGTATGCAACGAACAGTGTCATTGCTATTCCATGGTTGCAAAAGATATTATCACTTGACAACACTACGTAATAATTCCCAAATACAAGGGATATTATAAATGATTGTCATATAGTAGGTTAATTTGCTTTTAGAAAAAGAAGAAGCAAATAGTTATTAGAAAATATGAAAATAATTTACTATGTGTATTTGACCTTAGCAGTTTTATCATCGAAATGTCAGATTCCTATTATTGTTTTCATCAGATAAAATATTGATTTAGAATTAAGATCTGGAATTAATGTTTCTCAGATTACACAGAGATGGGGTTTTGTAATGTGTGAGGTGTTTTTGTGGCGTACATAGATACATTGAAATGTAAGAGATACCTGGAAATAAATATATTGCACTGAGCAAAAATTCGGTTTGTCATTTGTTTACATCGCGACGCGCCATTACACAGGAAGCACCTGAAATGCTGAAGAGTGTTCAAAGGGGACATCACTCTGCATCTGCTAAGCTCAAGAACTATTTTGCAGGTCGAATTCAGAGGAACAAGTTCGAACCCCAAGGTAACAAATACATGCGAAGGATATGTGGTTATTTATTGTTTATAACGTGTGATCGCGTACAACAAAAATAACAAAAATACATCTAACCATGGTATATAGGTAAATGTATCATGACAACACCAATAATCCCAAATAAATCCTCAGTCACAACATAATGTTATGTATGTTTTCTGTGTGCACGGATAACAACTTTTTTATTGATTTTTTTTCTAGTTTGATTGTCATATTACTAGTAGAAATCATAACATATATAGATCCTTGGAAGCCGAGCGCCATACTGATCATGGGTGTAGGGGGGCGTAGTCCATGCGTTTCCTGATGTTGTAAGAATGGGTACATTAATTGTTTAGCTTTTAATCAATCGAGGTATGTTCAATGTTAAGGCAATAACTTTTACTTTATTGTAAACAAGTAACTGACACGTTCCTAATAATTATTTTTTTAGTAGCTGCATTATTATATTGCATAAATCATGATATTCTAATCATTAATTCATATATTATATTATAACTTGGATCACGAAAGTGATCACACTTTAAGAGTCGTGATCATTATCTCCTTAGTGGTGTGTTTTTCAATCCCAACTTGCCTTCTGTTACTTTGTAGGCAAATTGTGATATGATGAACATGGACGTATCCAAATGGTACTCAACCAAAGCGCCTGAAGCCTAATTATCTAACGCCCTCCAAGTATATCTCCTGGTTTCTCAGATTATTCATTCTAACAATATAGTTACAATATGGTATTCATTTCACTTACATCGCCCAATCATTTCCATCAAAGCGTCAGCAATCGATGTACAAAATCGAGAATATTACATTTAACATGCGATAGACACGTTTTGATTGATTCCTGTTATCGTCCAGCCACTCTCCCATCACGTCATTGACGTTGCATGTTAAACACTCTTTGAGCATGTTTTCTACGTGGAGATACACATTACGATCAATACTTATTTACGATATAGGGTATTGATTCTCATATTCACCATGGATATTTTCAGAATGTTTTGGACCACGTGTGGATTGGGCTTTTTTTACGTTTAACGCATCCTGAAAGAACAGGAGACATTTCTTCTATTTATTCATATTTTATGTAAGAAAACTACACAATTTGGTCTAGTGCGACAAAGACAATTTGGTCAAGTGCTCAATCTCGTGCGACATACACAATTTTGCTTTGTGCTCAGTCTCGTGCGACAGTGTTGGTGTTGGACCGCTTGGGTGAATTAGCGTTGAGTATCAGATGCCATAAATAAAATAAGCTTTAGCCCGATTTATTGAAAATATGTGTGCGAAGTTGATAGATATAACTGTGAAATATTTTAAAGCGAAAACTGTATCGTCATGAAAAGTAATAGAGATATCACAGAATACGCATTGTAATATTGACAAAATTACGATTCCATTCCGACAAGACGCATTCGTAATAAAATACACCACAAAAATATGTTAATAAGTGTCTTGCTTTGATTACAAGTCCATCCACTCAGTTCAGAATGATTATGACCGTGTTTTAAACGTTTATTAAACTACAATGTTTTCACATGTGCATTTAGAAAATCTATTAAACTTAAACATAGATATACTGTTGTAGGACGCCATGACACGTTGGGACACGTTGGTAAATTGATGTTGAGAGACACGCTACTGGAACACGTTGGTACACTGATAAAGAGATCCACACTATTTAGGGGTGAATTGGTTTGGTTTTACTCCGCTTATAGCAATATTCCAGCAATATCAAAGCGATGTACACCAGAAATGGGCTTCAACCATTGTACCCATGTGGGAAATCGAACTCGGGACTTCAGCGTGATGAGCGAACGCTTTAACAAATAGGCTATCCCACCGCCCCTCAACGCGATTGGAATACGCTGATACACCTATATAGAGATGCACATAATTGGAACACGTTGATACACATTTACCAAGGCATGTAACTGTTACAACATAGGTCTAGAATCTAGTCTATTTACCGAGGTATATAAGTGTTACAACATAGGTCTAGAATCTAGTCTATTTACCGAGTTATATAAGTGTTACAACATAGGTCTAGAATCTAGTCTATTTACCGAGGTATATAAGTGTTACAACATAGGTCTAGAATCTAGTCTATTTACCGAGGTATAAAAGTGTTACAACATAGGTCTAGAATCTAGTCTATTTACCGAGTTATGTAAGTGTTACAACATAGGTCTAGAATCTAGTCTATTTACCGAGGTATATAAGTGTTACAACATAGGTCTAGAATCTAGGCTATTTACCGAGGTATAAAAGGGTTACAACAAAGGTCTAGAATCTAGTCTATTTAACGAGGTATGTAAGCGTTACAACTTAGGTCTAGAATCTAGTCTATTTACCGAGGTATATAAGTGTTACAACATCGGTCTAGAATCTAGTCTATTTACCAAGGTATATAAGTGTTACAACATCGGTCTAGAATCTAGTCTATTTACCGAGGTATATAAGTGTTACAACATCGGTCTAGAATCTAGTCTATTTACCGAGGTATATAAGTGTTACAACATAGGTCTAGAATATAGTTTCCTAGTATATATATATAGTATATAGTCGACTTTTACAGCAAGCATGAGTTGCTGAAGACCTATTATAACAGTGTCCAGAATCCCATTCCCTTATTGAGGTATATAATTACTTCATCACTGGCCCTCCTCTTCTATAGGTATATAACTGTAACAGCACTGGCCAGGAATCAAGTCTCCTTCTCAAACTATAAAACTATTACAGCATTGGTCTTGGAGTGTAAGTTTAACAGCATCATTCTGAGCACAGTGCCTTCTCTTGAGTTATAACTGTCACAAGCAATTGAGCATTGTCCAGATAAACGACACTTTGTTACTTTTGAAAGTGAGAACAAAAGCTGGAGAAGCATCTAAGTATAATGTTCAAACATGTAGTGAGGATCGATCCCCTTGGGACCAAGGTGAGAATAGGTTGCATGTTGTGAGAAGTGATTAAATTGGATAAGGTGTTTAGAGTCACTGTGTGAATGGATCGTAATTGTACCCAAAGGCCATGGGCTGTTATGCATAATCTTAACCACTAATCTGTGGACTGGATGATGTACAGGCAAACATGACACAGGACAAATATTGCTGATTGTGTTGTAAAACAACATTCACTCACTTCCCTTGTATATTGAAGATGGTTAACCATCCAAACTACAAATGTAATGTTCCTCTGGCTTCAAGTTATCGATTGTTCTTTCATAGTGAGTGAGTGAGTGAGTGAGTGAGTATGGTTTTACGCCGCTTTTAGCAATATTCCAGCAATATCAGAGCAGAGGACACCAGAAATGGGCCTCACAAATTGTCCCCATGTTGGGAATCGAACCTGGGTCTTCGGCGTGACGAGTGAACGCTTTAACCACTAGGCTACCCGACCGCCCCCCTTTCATAGTGACCCAGATTGAGTGGGTAACCTATCTCACAGTATCGACTGTTCAGTCATAGTGACCCAGATTGAGTGTTTGTTTGTTTGTTGTTCAATGCCACACTCAGCAATATTCCAGCTATAAGACGGCTGTCTGTAAATAATCGAGTCTGGAGCAGACAATGCAGTGATTGAAATCATGCGCATTGATCCACACAGTTGGGATACGATGACATGCATCAACCAGGTCAGCACCCAATCCCATTAGTCGCCTCTTACGACAAGCATAGTTGCCTTTTACTCAGTCATAGTGACCCAGATTGAGTGGGGCACCTGTCTCACAGTATCGACTGTTCAGTCATAGTGACCCAGATTGAGTGGGGCACCTGTCTCACAGTATCGACTGTTCAGTCATGTAGTCACCCAGATTGAGTGAGGCACCTGTCTCACAGTATCGACTGTTCAGTCATGTAGTCACCCAGATTGAGTGGGGCACCTGTCTTACAGTATCGACTGTTCAGTCATAGTGACCCATATTGAGTGGGGCACCCGTCTCACAGTATCGGCTGTTCAGTCATGTAGTCACCCATATTGAGTGGGGCACCTGTCTCACAGTATCGACTGTTCAGTCATAGTGACCCAGATTGAGTGGGGCACCTGTCTCACAGTATCGACTGTTCAGTCATGTAGTCACCCAGATTAAGTGGGGCACCTGTCTCACAGTATCGACTGTTCAGTCATGTAGTCACCCAGATTGAGTGGGGCACCTGTCTCACAGTATCGACTGTTCAGTCATGTAGTCACCCAGATTGAGTGGGGCACCTGTCTCACAGTATCGACTGTTCAG